GGGGGGGGGGGGGGTATCTTCAATATGTTACAATTTTAATAATATTATTTGACACAATAAGAATCTTTTTTTAGTTATATACACTATATTAAATATATATTAAGGAAAATCCCGTGTTTAGAAATACGTCTATACAATATAATATTGTGCTTATCAAGAATATACATCGATATTTGAATTTGAATTCAAGATAATTATCGATGGCTTCACGAAATGTTAGCGAGATAATTCTCGTGTTGTATTGTTGTAATCAGTTTCTCATTGTTGTCAATGTATACGATGAATATTACCTTTCTACTCAATATATATTTACGTGAATATAATTGCCGAAATCAAGTGAAACGTTACTGCAGCTAGGTATATGTCTTTCTGCTCGATAGTGAAGTACCTCTACTTGTGAAATAAATTGACTTTAGTCTTCTTTTATAACATTCGGCAAGAATACTTACTCGTATGACAATCGGGTATTCGACGCACGCCCATTGTTATTTCAAACGTGTCTAAAGGCATGAATAATTTACATGATTGACCTATGTCTCATATTATGAAACGATGAGTTATGTCACGCATTATAATAAAAGAATATAAATTATTTCTGTTATTGTGTTTTTAATGTAAAAAAAATCTTTTACACTAAAGCTTATTTTATTATTACGATTATTTTAATGATATTCAATCCATATACAATTTTTATGAATATTTTTACGTAATAATGATAATTATGCCCACAGTAGGGATAGATATACTTTTTATTAATACCTTTTAAATCATACATAATTAATTTCAAACAATGCAAATAATTACATCTTTTATTAAATACATTTTATGGCAATGTTATAAAAGGCAAGTTTAAAGCAATCAGTCAATCACAATGCAAAAAATTTCCTTATATAATTTTATAAACATAATCTCTCTGTAAACATTTTAATTGCCTGTCCTAAAATTTGACGGAAAAGATTAACGTCTTCATTTTTCTTCTTTATTTCAGTTATAAATAATCATAAATTAAATAAACTATTGTATAAGTGGTATAAATAGGAATCCGTATATTTACAATCATACCATGTACATACAATTATGTAACTATATTATACGTCTTAATAATTTTTCAGTATACTAATTATACAGTGTTAAGTTTTTCATGAATCTGCATTTGATCTTTAATTTAGAATTCGTTAAATGTTACAATGTCATTTAGCTTATCAGCTAAATGCATCATTACTAAAAGCATTTTTGATATCTTACAAATGACAAAAAATGCGCATTTACATTAAAATTGTAACTTGAAATAAATATGAGAAATTTGAGAAGAAAATGCGTAATATACATCTGCAGTATCTTCTATGCGATTTCATTTTCTTCTCATTTACAAAATCAAATGTAATAATGTTTCAACAAATAAATCATTGTTGAAAGAGCCAGAAAAGTGTTATATATGACTCCGATTTTATTGAGAAAATATGAAGTTGGAAATCAATCAATTGAAGATATTATATAACAATGAATTTGACTTTTCAATAGAATCGTGTGAGTAACAATAAAATAATCGGAAGGAACAACGACAAAGTAATGGAACTTGCAGAGTCTGGCTTATTTTCGTGGCAAATTTCACAATTTTTTACTATCCATTCCGTAACATTATCCCGGTAGGTATTGATCCAGATAAGTTTGTTTAACACAGCGGATAATTCAAACTTCTGTACGTTTTGCAGTTGCCCATGTACGAGTAGCGTTAACTAAAATACAAAAACAATTATATTAAAACTTATTTTAGAATTATCGATTCAATTTATCGGTATTATTAGATTATTGAATTTTTATAACATGGTAGTTGAGGATAATTAAATACATTTTGAAGACGCAATGTTTCACACAAAATTGTGAAATATCCAATCAATCCACTTTGAGATAAGATATAAGCGCGCGATCGAACATGAGATAGAAATGAAATGTTTTGAAGGTTCCAATTACTAAAATTTAGTTACACAAAAGATATGTTATCGCGCATATGTCATTCAATCACGTAGTTAAAAAAAATGTTCAAATTTGAAACAGTGTAAAATTAAGTATATCTAATGTTATTTTCTAATAGACATTAATTATATTACATTACTAAAATCATAATCAATTTATGTATGTATATGATACGTGCAATATAAATGTTAAATTTGAAGGAGTATATCCTTCAATGAATGCTTAATTCTCTTTATTTTAATAAAAATTTATTATCCTTAAAAGTTTAGATTAAATAAGAAAGAGATTAATGATGTATTACCTCTATATATTGCTTTGTTGTTACGACTCTGTCGGAAAGATTATTAAGGAAAGCACTCAGTAACGAGTTATCTTCTTCATCTCTGTAAAGAAATTATTACATTATCAATTTGTTTATGGTATATTTTGTATTGTCAAAGTAAGGAATAAAAAGCAACTTACACATTATGAATTGTTTCAATATTATCGTTGATGAATTCTACAAGGATGTCGAAGGATTCGGCATTACCCGCACATATCGAATTCAACGCAGCAAAAATATCGATGTCGGAATCTTTCTCGAGAGTTAACGCGAGGAATTTCTGGATAGTTTCCTTAGATGTGGCGCAACCAAAACCGGCCAGAATGTCCGCCTTTTCATCTTTATCTTCAGTGGTTTTATACTTTTGTAGAGTCGCGTTCCATATTTGTGCGCTTGCATTTCGCAATCCGGCGCAAAGAATTCCACGTCTCAAGTCTGGTAAGAGTCTAGAAATACTCGGTAAACAGTTAATTTAATTTCTATAGATTAGATATGTAATATCACTAAATGTTAACAAGAAACCTGCATTACTTTTATATTTGTACGAACACGTATTTCGTAACAGAGAATTTTTAAGTTCACAAATTGTTACAAAAGTTTCAGAAAAAACATATAATGTATTTGCATCGTATTGTTCAACATGTTCTATAAACTGTACGATGAGTTCATAGACGATGCAGAAATGTTATTGTTATTTAGCAAGTATATATAATGGATTGTAATTATGAATTTATGAAACTACAATAAGTTCTCGGACTTACTTCTTCTCATCTTCTTTCTTCTTATTGTCCAACCAATCTGCAAGCTTCTTATTAGCAAAGTTATTGCAGTCTTCCAATCCGTATTTACAAGCTGTGTCTAATGCTAATACTTTGGCAAGTTTATCTACATGCGTACTATTTCTCCAATCTTTGTAGTTGACTGTCAGTGCAAAAGATTTTATCTTTTCAGCGACATATTTCTGAAATTAAGTGATGTGTTAAAACATTAACACTTGTATATGTTTCTCTTTTTTTTGCTATTAAAATATGCATCCGCACTTATAACATTGTATTTTTTCTTATTCAACTTACGTGATATTCTGTGTAGTTCTTTCCACCTATTAATACGTTGTCCAGATAATTGAATGCTTTGGCAGCGGCATACCATGGAATATAATCAGTCTCATGTGATAGATACGATGTAATCTGCAATGCAGTCTTATATGCCAAGTGTCCTGTACGCGCGAGATTTAATGCATCATCGATCAATTGGGCGCGGTTGGTTGCGCTTATATTAAGATAAAAAGGCGATTTTAAGTACGACGCTAGCTTCTGCCAATTTGAATCGTCATAATTTACACGATAGAAACCTGTAAATAATATTATTTCATATTTTTTTACCATATTTAACTTTTAATCTTCACGATAAATTTGCTTTTGTATATATAATTATGATTATGAAAAAGGCTAAGTCAAATATAACAAATTAAACTAATCATGTTATTTGTTCTACATCTTTATATATACATCTTTATAACAAATGTTCTACAATTTTATTTTAGTTTTATATTAAAGATTAATGTAAATATGTCAAATAATCTAGTAGATTAATAGGTGCACGCATCATTAGCATTGCAATGAATGTAAAGATTACATAGCGGTAATCAATATACACATACCTGTCTGATTCTTATTGAAAAGTATCCATTTTGTATCGTTTAGTTTAATTTCTAATGATGCATTTGTTCCGGGTATCAACCAGCGAGATTGTTTGTCCGTAGGCATCACTTCATTGGGCGAGTCTTCCGTTACATAATTGATGGGTATATACCATTGAGTTTTATCTTTTTTCACTGGTTTCACCCAAAAGTATCGTTCCTGCGTTATATTAACAGTACCACGTAATTTCGTATTCCATGTGACGGTAATGACAGGATATCCAGGTTTATTAACCCAATTATCCATAACTTGTTTAAGTGTAATACTTTTTGGCAAACATTCTTCCACTTTCTTACTGGAATCTTGGACAGATTTGAAGAAATCGTCAGAATCAACGGATTTGCCCTTGCTAAAATTATGAAATTGTAGGATTATTCTATTATTTTATTGTGATTGATGCTATACACAATGTGTGATTTGCGTTATTCAATATTTATATAATATAATTAAGAAAACGTCTTTTTCTCTACTTTTAAATATAAATAATTATAATAAACTTACTAAATATTTAGATATCTTCTAAGTCCTTCTTGAAAAACATCTTCCGATAAAAATCCTTGTATCATATAAAGAAGAGAAGCACCTACGAAGATGGATAACATAAATTAGAAAATTGAATCAATTATTTTTGTTGCGTTATATATATATCGTGGAAAAGAAAGAATTAATTTACCTTTTTTGTAGGTAATATCGTTGAACACACTTCTAATTTGAGAAGTAGTTTGTATATTAGTTTCAGGATTCAATGCGCGAGTTTTACTACTTGCATCAACAACGAATGCTGATTCTTGCACATTTTTAATAACAAATTGTTCCTTAAGACGCCAAGACTCTTCATCCTTATACTGCAATTTAAATTAATTCAGATGATAGTTTTATCATGATAACCGATATTACAGTTCATATAGTATAAGTTTTTTTAAGCGTCAACGGGCTTTTGTACAATTAAATTTCAGTATAGTAAAATAAATGTTAATGGTATAATAATTGTATTTTTACAAACTTAAATTTATACTTAATAGTTATTTCTTAATTTTTTTTCTTTAGTGTACAACAGATTGTTATTATAACATAATTTAAAACTTTAAAAGTATTTAGTATTTTATATTTACCAGTTGTGGAATAACTTTATCGGTAACATAATATTGGAAAAATGTAGCAAACCCTTCATTTAGCCAGATGTAATTCCACCAAGCGCAAGTAACTAAGTTACCAAACCACTGATGAGAGAGTTCGTGAGCTATTATTGTCGCTAAAGCTTGTTTCTCTGCCGTGGTTGTTTTATTCTCTACATAGAGAAGTCGAGATTCTCTAAAAAAAAAAAAAACAGTATGTTACATTTTTTAATGCACTAATAATATTGTCCTTGTGATAATAATTACTCTAACTTGTATAAATAAAATTATATTTGAAGAGATATAATAGTCAGTGTTTGGCAAAAAGTTGTGCAAGGTAAAAATTTTTACATTCTGTATAAAACTTTGTAACTAATTTTAATAACTATCAATAAAATAGATTAAATAGATAAAGTGTATAGATAGATAGAAAATATAAAGGAGATTGACAAATAGATTATATATATAGATATATATGTATCGATTAGATATATTATAAGTTTTGAAATATAAATTCGGACTGTACTAATAAAAAAATAAGTAGAAATTCGTCGAAGAACTTTGGTCGTCCTGTAATTAATGATCATTAACCGACATTACCTGTATATTACAAGACCCCAATTTTCCATAGCACCTGGTCCGAAATCTGGTATTGCAATTTGATCCAGCTTCAACATTCCTTGCTCCTTTCCATAATAATCAATGTTGGTAAAATTTTTTAGTACCTGTAACGTTTCTAATCCATACATGAATGCAAATTCTTTAGCGTCTTCTTTTACTGTAGGTTTCGCCCAAACCCCAAAATTTTTATTATTCAGAGCCGTGAAATCCGAAACTACAAAAGCTACGAGATAAGTGGACATGATTGGTGTCTTCTCGAAAGTCGTCTTTAAATTTGCAGTTGTTTTTGCAGGCATATTTGAAATCGCTATGTAATTTTTTTGAGGAACTGTAATAGTAATGGTAAAACGTGCTTTGAATTGTGGTTCGTCCCAACATGGGAAGGCCTGTCTCGCGCCCACTGGTTCAAAGTGAGTCGTTGCGAGCCATCTGTAACATATAATTAATTTTATTATTATGAATGATTTTCTATATTTCTATATTTTCTATATTTTCTATATTTCTGTATGAATTTTGATGAAGTAAAATCGTTTGTTTTTAAAAGAATCGTCTATTCTAATTTTAATTTATAAAAAATTCAATTCAATATTGTTTAAAAAATACTATAATATCTATTTTTAGTCTAAAAACAAATTAATTATTCGGCTCTTATAATAAAAAATTCTTAAAAAGTTTACAAAAAAAGCGAAACAATTTTTTAATTATAAAATTGAAAAATTTTCCAGATTTACTTAAATTTATAACGGTGTGATAATTCTCTTTTTGAATAACTTATTTAATTATTTAAGTTACAATTGACTACATAAAAATTATTTTAAATAATATTAAGTTGATTATACAAAGCTGATATAAATAATATTAGTTTTAATTCAATAGTTTCTAGCAAAATTTTAATAGAAATTTAAACGCTGGCTTACATCTTTTTTCCTTCCTTATTCTGATAAGAACTTCTGTAGAATCCACGTAATTTATCATTTAGCTTTCCAGTATAGGACAAAAATAGTTGTGCATTTACGTTTGCGGGAATGGACTCGTTAAAAATGAGCGTCACAAAGTCCTTATTTATATCTTTCTTTAACTTAATTGGATAAATTATAATTTCGTCTTTAATTTTATATGTTAATTTAATACTACTGTTGATATCAATTTCCTTAGCATGGAAAACTATGGTATTTGTCTTATTCACAGTCATGAGAGTGATCACAGATTCTCCTTTAAAAGTAAAATTATCTTGATTGGGTGACTCGAAAATCGGCTGCAATTTGATATCATATTCCATAGGCATTACATCTAGTGGCAGTCTATAGTTATCTAGAACTTCTTCAATAAGTTGAGGAGCCACATCATCGGAACTAGGATAGCTCGCCCAGCAAGCCGCTAGGACAAGCATAAATGATAACAGGAATCTCATCGTTAACATTGTACCTAGCAAAAAAATTTTGCGTGAAAACACCGATTTCATTTATTTCTGTTACGTAATACAATTAAGACACAATCGAGTAATGACAAGAGATGCATGACAGTTCACATAGATAAATCTAAGAAAAACCAATTAAATATTTGTTGCAAATATTTAATTATTAATTTTTATTAATTTTGGAAAATATTTTTTCAATGTTTTAATTAATTAATATTTATGTGATACATGAAAAAAATCTCAAAATTTATATATAATTTAATATTTGTTTTTGTTTTGTTTAATTAAATCAAGAATTTAATAATATGATAAAAGAAAAATATAAAATTAGGGAGAAAGAAATTATATAAAATTTTGTAAATTACACATTAAATGCTATATAAAAAATATACAATTTCTCGATAAGAATGTGCATTATAAATTTTTATCAATAAAAATATTCTTTATATTTATCATAATTGATTGTTTCACAAGAGAGAGGCGTAATGAATATAATAAATAATTAATGACGTACCTTAAAGTTAAAGATGAAGAGCCGTGCAGGTCGATTCCTCGTCCCCGCAGAGACGAGATTTATTGAAAGACTATACTTGATTAAAACTTCGGGCTTTATAAGGCCGTGATCGTAGGATGTATCATTAAAAAAAAATTTCGCTGCCACCTCTAATCTTATCGTCCGGTTCTTTGCAAGCAAAAAGTATTATATCCTTCGAGGTAAGAAAAGTAAATGAACCATCCCGAACACGAATCGCAAAATTTCCGGGACAGCACCGGCACCGCTGATAACGCGATAACTAAAATACTGTATTATCCGACCAATCGATGGCAGACCCAGAGATATTATCGGGATTTAACTTTTTTTATCATATCTTTCAGAACATATCGAATGGTACTGCTTAAACAACACATTGCATTGATTTATGAAGAGTTTGTATCACTACTATAAATTTTTACTTTCATATTGCAAATCAATTCTCTCTAAGTAAAGTTGTATGTTAACTGGAAATATCTATGAATTCTCTCTTTTTCTAATTTTCTGCAGCCATTTTCCTGTTGCCAAAGTTAAAATGTAAATTTTAATTAGAGTTGGTCAGTAAGTCAAGATTTACTTTTGTAAAATTTTTTTATAGAATTCAACCTTTTTGATATTATTTAGTAAAATCATTATTATTAATTAATTATTTAATTTATTTATTTGTAATACAGATATGAAATATATATATATATATGTATATAAAATAATTGTATATAAAAATATGTATGCTCATAAAGTAAGATTTTAGACAAAATTGATTATACCGTAATAAGAATGTAAAACAATATAATTAAGAAGGCATACACCGCGAACGCCAGATGTGGATGGCTTAAATATTTGTATTTAAAATATTACAATAAAATAGACGTTTCGGTCTTAAATTAGATCTTTCTTAGTATTACAAAAATTGTCGGAAATAAATTATTACGCATATAAGTAAATTTAAAATGTTACGATTATAAATTCTATACGTTACCAATGAAAGATTTTATAACGCTCAGTAATAGATTTGATAGACGCAACGGTGTTCCATACAAATCGGATTGTCTACATGATCCCGATAAGTGAACCAAAGCCAATAGGTGCACACTTTGCTCAACATCAATACAACGCAAAATTTCCAATTTCTATTAAACATTATGTGTAAATTTTCTTCAATTAATAATATTGACAGTGTACAACAAAAATATTTTATATGAAAATACATATTTTGAATATCAAGATTAATTTAATTAAAAACAATCTGAATAAATAGTTTAAAATTAACATTATGTGTAAAATTATTCTTAAATTAATATTAACATTATGTTTAAAAATGATAAATATGTTAAAACAAGAACTCTGTTTGATCAAAATAATAAAAATAACCTAACTAGTGTTTAAGCGAAGGACACATTCGCTGCTCCGTGGTGTATTGGACGGAGTTAAACAAATTTTATAAAAATGCGATTAATAGCGAATATAGAAGCATTATCCAAAGTTTCATGTTGAGATTTGGCGATCGAATGGATAACACTTCAGCTTTGGCAACCTGCGAGTGACTCCACATTGAACGATCGTGAAATCTAATTTTATCTAAGAAGTTTGCTGACGAGGATTCAAAAAAGAATCGAAACGTACAAGATTTCAAGATTTCAAATAAAGATGAGGTTATCACATCAAATGGACTAACAAAATTATTTGTGAGACTAATTGCGCACCTCCGTTCGCGCTAACTCTTATTAGCCCTTAGTGTTAGGTTATTTTTATTATTATATTTAAAATTAATATTATGTGTAAAAATTTTCTTAAATTAATGATATTGACAGTGTACAAGAATACTTTATATCATAATTTAGAATACTAAGTTTAATTTCATTAAATACCATCTGAATAAATAGTTTTAAATTAACAACATCAAGAGAATAAAAAGATAAAAAGATCAATATACAAAACTTTATTTAACCAACCTGCGTTGAACGATAAAATACACAGCAATCCAGGACCTAGAGTCAATGTGATTGTGCTCAGCGTCAAAAACGTTATACCAATTTTCGTACGTGTCGGATAGTTTATATACATTCCCTGCGTTGGCAACGGAAAGTTCTAGAGTTATGTAGAGGACGATACTTTAAGTAACGGAAAATATGATTCGGGTAAATTTTCCGTATCATTTTGTTTATTGATACCGTGTGTTTTTTGACGAATATCATTTCTGATGTAAATCTTTTATGATATATATTTCTGATGTAAATCTATATCCAGAATTTCTATGTCCTCCCAATTAAATTTGTGATCAAAATTTATTTGATGCTGTGCTACCACACTGTGAAGGCTGCTCGAACAAGCAGCGTTAGATTTATGTTCTTTTATTCAAGTTCTTACTTTTCTTTTTGTTTGCCCAACATATGAGGATTCACAGCTCAGGTAATTAATTTTATAAATTACATTGCAAAGTTCCATTTTGTTAAGCTTGTCTTTATCTGTTTTAATAATAGAATTAAGTTTATTCATTGGTTTATAAGCAATTTTCAAACAATTCTTTTCAGTAACAGATTTAAACTTTTCTGAAATGTTTTTAATGTATGGCACTATAAAATATTTATTAATTGAATTATCATTGTCAAAGTCCTGAAAGTTGTTTTTATATAAATTCTTTCGTCGAGATAACCATTTGATTCTTTTGTTAATAGTAATAAAAATTAAGTCTAAAGGATAACCATTTAGCAGTGTATTAATCATCGTTTCTATATTTCTGTTGTGAAATTCAAGATGTGAGAGAAGGATAATTCTATCGAGTAGTCCAATTATAACACCTCTTTTATGAGGATTTATCCAGAGGATGATTCGAATAAAAATGGTAGCGTCAAGAATCTGTCGCCTAATTTAAGACCGAAACGTTTATTTTATTGTAATATTTTAAATACAAATATTTAAGCCATTCACATCTGGCGTTTGTATATACCTTCTTAATTATATTGTAAGATTTTAGGTTAATCTTTATTTTCTATTATCTATAGTATATTTACGCAAACCGAGATAAAAATTAATTGATGATATCATTTAGGATATCGTTTACAAAGTATACATGCATTATGACTGTTAGGAAAAAAATGTTTTATTGTAACGTGAAAAATTTTGTCGTGTTAAGTATATACTTTTATAGCGTTAATAAAAATAATATGTATATATATATATATATGCAATATACAATATATTAAATATAAATATAAGAAATAAAATTAAAATAAGTATGTATTATATATAAAGAAGGTAGTCTTTATCTAAAGCATAATTTAATCATAAAATATATTGTAAAAAACTTGTAAACAAATACATGTAAGGAATCAATGCCAAAGGCGATTATCGTATATAAAATAAGGATCAAGAAGATTTATAAAATATTTATATGTATTAATATTTTTATATAAATCGCCTTTTTGTAAAAAAGAAAACGAAATCTAGGAATAATAGTCCAATAAATCTTAATATTCTATTCTAAAATATGTTTCTTTTTTACGTCACTTGGTATCAAATAATAATTAATCTTTCCGTAAAAATAACACATCTTATATACTCAATTTCTTTTAAAATTGGGACAGTTGCAGTGCTTGTACAGGCTTGCATAATAAACTTTTAAGTTTAATGCCTCTTTATTTTATTGTATATATACATTTAATTACAAATATAACAAATATTGGGATACTCTATATACATAGTTACATAATGTATTATTATGTATATATATAACATTTATAACAGTTATTTAAAGATATGATATATATATATGTATATATATCATATCTTTAAATAACTAGTTAACAATGCTCTTTCAATTGCAGGTAAAAATTTATCGATCCATGCTAAGGATGAAGTAGAAATACTTATGGCTTTTTTTGCTGAATTCAACGCTGATCCTAGATTTTCAATGTTTTCATCAACAAATGAGCGAAGCTATAATATTATAAACATTTTATAGTTATGTTACTTATCTAATATAATAAGTTTTAAATTATTCTGTATATAATCAAAATATAAGAGAAGTAATTGATATATTAAATTATAATACGTATACAAACTATACCTTATTTAATTGAGTTTCCATAATAATTTTATTGCCTACAGCAGGGAGCATTTTGGTTAAGAAATCTATTCCTCTTCTACAAAAGTGTAAGATAAAATATTATAAGATTTGTTTTGTAAATATAAGAATCCATTGCAAATAAATACCCAAAGCATTATGTTTTTCTTTAGTCACATTTAATTATTAAAAAATAAAACAAAAAATTAAACGAGTTTAACATTTTTTTCGTAAAACTCTATTTTCCGATAAAATTTTTCCGATAGAAATGATGCGCACAATCAAATATTTGCCTTTACAACGAAAACGTAATAAATGACAGTATTATCTTGGCTCTTAAATAATAAGTTTTGATTGGGATACTCTGTTTATTGTAATAAAGAAAATAAGATGCAAAGTTATATAATAAAAAATATAAAAATGAAGAAAATAAGAACGCATAATACATACGATTTAAAAATCATGGGCAAATTATGGTGAATAAAATCAATGACGTGATTAACATTTTCGGGATTGCCGTTCAAAACGGCATTGATTATTGTCATTCTATATTGCTTGCGAAGTTTGAGTCCATACACTATAGACATATTGAGAAATCTGAAAGTTGACAAATTTAGTATCTGATTGCAAACGCGTTTATCTGTATGATCCATTTCTTATAATCCACCTGTCGATTAAATGAGGAGTTTTAGTACATCCAAGTGCACTCAGCAAGAGTTCTTGTTCTGCATGTAAGTCAGTGCGCAGAAACCTGTTCCAAACAGTATGCCAATCATTATCATCACCTGCTCGAATACCCACGCAATACACGAAGCTCTTGAGATTTGCTGATATACTGCATATACATAAAATATATCATGAAGATATATACATGTATAATATATTGTGTTAATTAATTAGTTATCTTTCCCGAAGATAAATTTCACAAAAATATTTACCGAAAGATAAAGTACATATTAGAAACATAAATGAAACGGTTAATAATATTACCTTCTAATATTTGAATATATTTAAACTTTGATTTAAAATATTAATATTGTAAATATATATATAGTTGTATTGGATTTAGAATTTCGCTGGTAATTGATCATACCTTTTCTCAGATAGAATCCACGTTTTAAATAAAGTTTTCGATGTCTTTAGGCAGTGCATATTATTAACCGAGCAAGCAGTAGATAGAATCAATTCGCGATGCATTTTC